TAACGTAGAAGAATTTTTTTTTTTGTTGAAACATTGTTAAATTAGTTTATGAATATTCATGAGTATTATGATCAAAACACATTAGGATTCCTATTTTATTGGATTTATTTACTATCCTAATTTTAGTAGGAATTATTTTTTCAATTATGTTTAGGACACTAATATATTAGGAAAATAATAGAATTAAACATGTGGATCAATCAAATTTTTTTTAATGATGGTACAATAAGAATACAAATAAATAAATAAATAAATAAATCTAAGCCTTTTTAACTTATTCTGCTATATATATATATCACTATAGAAAACCTATAATTTTGCAATAGAAATTAGCAATAGAAAATATCTTGTCATTTAATAGTGATGGATGCTAGCGATAGAATTTCGATCTATATGAGACATAATATCAATGGCGAAAAATTTCTATTATTAAATAGTGTACCAAATTTTTTATCGCTATGTTAGCGACAGATTAGCAATCGAATTGTAATGGCATTTAGCGATAGAACACTATTTTCTTCACTAATTTTAAATCCTTTTTTTAGATTTTATTAGCAATGAAATATTCTATTTCTAATTCTTTTATTTTTTCATAAATCCTAGGAAAAATATGTCCTTAAAAAAAAGCAATATTAACAATGGATCTTGTTAGTTGCTAATATGTGAAAATAAAGGCATTGATTACAATTTTAAAATCAAAGATAGACACTTATTGCTGCCATGGATTTATGGATAACATGGTGATAGAATGTGGAAGTTGTTGATATGCCCAAAATTCAAAGTTCAAATCTGTAACAAATACTTATTTCCATTGTTAATCGGAGAGGGAATAACGACCAAGTCGTATTCATCGCTATAGTTATATCTTTAAATTAGGAGAATCCCTTTTCTTTCATATTTTCTTCTTTCTTCTCCCTCTCCAAATCTTATTGCAGCCTTCTCCAAGTAATGTCTCCATGTGTAACACCCCCCATAACACCTCACAAATCCTTCTTTTCCACCCTCTAATATTCTCCATCTCTTCTCCTAAAACAACTACGGGCTCCTCCCTTAAATGAGTCCGCTCTCTCTCTCTCTCTCTCTCTCTCTCTCTCTCTCTCTCTCTCTAACAGCTCCCATAACACCTAAACAATCCTTCTCTTCCACTCTCTAGAATTCCCAAGCCACTCCAACCATCTCCTCTCCCAAAATAGTTACGGGCCCCTCCCTCAAACAGATCCGCTTCTGCCTTTTCTCTCTCTATAGAAAGAAAAGCCTTCAATCGATTCAATTAGGTATATAACTTTCTCTTAATCTTTATTTTACATTTAATTTGTATGGGGTTTTTTTTATATCATTCTTGATTTTGCTATTTTTGGGGTGTTAAAATGTTTCTCATTATATAAATGTAATTAATTGTTAGTAAATATATTAGAAAACTCAAATTTATGTTATTTGAAATTTAATTAAGTATTTTGTTTATCAAAATTATTTTGAATTGATTAGGTTTGATTGTTGATAAATTAGGATAAAATTTTAAATTTATAATTTGCTATACAATTATTAAAAATAAAGATAGAGTCATTTGGTAATTAAGTTATTGGATTTAAAATAACATCTTAATTTTAAAATTAATTTGTTATTTTAAAATTGGCATAACATATGATTATTTTTACTTAGGATTTAATAATTGATAAATTAATTTTTGATCACATTTGTTTGATATATATAATAATTAGTTGTTGTTTGAATTGTGATATTGATTATTCATATACAAATTTGGTTCAACTAGTTAGTAGCATTGCCAATAGTCACTCTAACCACTCCAGTAATTTTTTAACCATTAATACTCGCAAGGTAAGTTATTGAAACCATACTTTATAATTTATGTCATAGAATAATTTTAAGTTAATTATGACAATTGATATTGTATTTATTTTATTGATGATTATTAAAGTGTGTCAAGATATACCATAGCGTATCAAGCACGAGGGGTTAGGGACCCTTGGGAATTGAGGAGAAATAAGATGATATCAATACTCGCGTTAGAGCTAGGAGGATATAAATTGGGTTTTAATTTAAAAATATTATCCGAGACAAGTGATGGTGTTATTGTGTGTAAATTGATTGAATTGATTGAATTGATTGCTTGATTGTGACTTTAGATTGATGTTTGTGTGATGATGATTAATTAAAAATATTTACATGTGTTATATTATATATTTTGGATGTGTTGTTTCTTGTATAGGTTATGTCTCAAGTAATTAGGGAATATTAAATTTTCAAAAAAGACTATGTTGAGTTTTGCTTGATTTATAGGAAAAAATGTATAAATCCGAGATAGTTGAATTATTTTTATTTATTAAACTATATCACATGACACTCGTAAGTGCAATGACTAGTGAGTTGAGTCGTCCCCAACTCAACATCCTATTTGGCCATATTTGATAGTAGTGGCTCTAGTCGTGGCGAGTGATAGTGGTGATGACAATGGTCGTGGTCACAGTCGTAGTCATGCTTATGACTCCGGACACAAGCCCAACACTTCGCATCGTTCGCAATAGTTCCCTTGTCCCCACTTGCTCCTCTCGTAAGATGATCATGCACTCGAACCGAGCTCCGCTATAGAAGTTGCATCGATGGTTTCTTTTACTCCAAGTGGTACTTCTATGTTTGATGCCGATCGGACCATTTATTTCACTAATGACATGTACGTATTATGCCTACTATTGCAAATAGAATTATCTTAACTTTACATATGGTAATTAGTTTTATATTTTGGTATATTGTTTAAATTATTTATTTACTTATTGATTTTTTATTTGTTGTTTTTGACGGTTAGTGTCCATCTAATAAGTGCTCTCAGCAGATCACTATAATTTTTAAGAAACAATTGGACCTTGTTAGCTCTATATGAAAGTCAATCTCATAGCAGACAAAAGAATTCTACTAGGATGAGCTTAAAGTAATATCTTAATTATTTCTTTATATTACATTTAAATTACTTACATGAAATGTACTTATATTAAAATTTTCTTCTTTGTAGAAGTATTTTTTATTGGAAGAAGCTATCACACACTCGGTTAAAAAGCCATGGGAGTCTAACACGCAAGCGGCTTGTCGACATGCCGACTAGCTACAAGAAGAAGACCAAGAAAATCTTGTTTATCCCAAAGCAGGTGTGGAATGGATGCCAGCAAGATTGTACCACACCTAATTTTTAGGCACATTTAGAATAAGTAGTTGGAAATCATATGAGTGAGATGGGTGGTACCGATGTTGGTCCATTTAGACATATGAGGGATTCCATCTCACGGATTGAGCATGCTAAACGGATGATAAATCCTATTAGACATTATGTTATAAATTAATATTTATATTTATTGCATCTCATATTGTTTACATGTACTTTTTTTAGGCTAAGGAGTTGAGTCGTGACCCAAATCCTTACAAATTATTCTTGAGGACTCAAATGCGCTAGGATGGATCATTCATCGATATGTGGGTCTAGACAATTAGGGTAATTTTTTTAATTATAAATATGCTAATTTAATCTAAAAATTAAATTTATGATTTAACAATATAAAATTTTCAATTGCGTAGGAATGCGTAGACTTATTGTATGAGTCGGCTACTAGTCGGCGAGTTGGAGGCCGATTCATTATCTTCGGACATCGACATAGTATAGATATATCTCAAGGCTATAGGAGGAAAGAAAAAGTATAGAGTATACGACTTCGAATCACAAGTGTTCTAGCATTATTCTCATTCTAGTGCTAGCTAATTATCCGCCACATTGTAGTTCTTTGGTCATATACACCGGGATAATTAGTACTAATAGAAGTTGGAGGATATAGTGTGTGATCGTACTCAGCAGATCTAAGTGGTGGTGAACAAACACAAATAGAAATACTAGGTTCCCTTATAGGAGACGCAAATGATGCAACAACTATGGGAAACACTCACTTACATCCCTCATCCTAACTCCCTCCTATTTAAGAGTCGACCTTTCCTCCCGATACCTCGTAACCAAAAGATGATGAAGCAAATGATGATGATGAGTACTATTTTTTTTTAATGTATTCGTAAATTGAACTGTGTGTGTCACACACACACACACACACACACAGACACACAGAGATATATATATATATATTACTCAATAATATTTTATTTTAGTTGTTTGTTATTACAACGGTATATTTAAACTACTATTAATGATGTTAAAAAAAATTCTTTATTTAGCAATGGATCAATGATCAACTAACAACAAAAAATAAATGACAAATTAATCACTCAGTGACAAAAATTAGTGATGAAAATAAAACTTGTTGGAAATAGCAACAAAAATCAACAAGGGATTTACGACCATTGCTAGAGACAAAATATTTACGACGGAAACTAAACTATTTACCAACAGTTTTGCGACAGATTTCATACTTACTATACAATTGTTTACATCAATTTGTCGACTGAAATACTTCAAAATAGTGACAAAAATGCCATCATAAATTGGCAACAGAATCGAAAATTTGTCACTGAAAAAAGAGTGACAAGTCTGTTAGCATTGGTTTTTTTCCACAAATTTCGATGCTAAAACATGACAGCTACGAGAAATATGGATATAACAATGGAATTTTACCTCCTTAAACCTAAGTTTTTTTTTTTTTTTTTTTAATTTTTAATGTAGCATATGATTTTTGCTCACTTGATTTATTCAAATATATATTTGATTAATACTATTACACATATATGAGAAATTATTAGATAAATTCTCCCTCTCACTTAAATACGAGATCCATTATAAAAATTATGTATGGATCTTGTCTTTACGTGAGAGGAAAGAATAATTCCTCAACATAACATTAAGAAACAAGAGAAATCAACCTAAAGTAACAATCAGGTCCACGACCCAGCAGAAGGTTTGTTTGCAGGTTATGAAAGTTAAGATGCGAGGAACGACACCACGGTTTGTTGCAGACAAGAGAGTAATCGTAGCTACCAATCAAGTCCAAATGGACCTAACACAGTTTCATGGTGCGTGTCATCATGCCCATGAATTCATTCATGTCTATTAAACCATCCCCATCACCATCCACTGCTCGAATCATTTTGCGACAAGCATCCAAGCTAGACCTTTCTCCCAATCTTTTCAAAACCTCCATTAATTCTTCTGCGCTTATTTTTTCATTCCCATCCAAATCAAACACTCGAAAAGCGCTTTCAATATCACTGCTCTTTACCCCACCTCCCATGTTATGCATCATTTCCATGAACTCTTTGAAGTCTATGTACCCATCCCCATCAATATCAGTAGCCTGAAATGCCTTGGCCATTTCAGATTCCTCTAGTGCCTTACCCAAGACCCTAAGCGCTGACTTGTACTCCTGACGCGAAATCTTGCCATCTTTGTTGATGTCAAATTTGTCAAACACCCATTTCATCTCTTCTACATTATTTGGTTGGAAAGATTTTGACACATTAGAGCTTTGTCTCGGGATTTCATTTTGTTGCATGGATTTTGAAATCCTAGAGCTTTGCCTCTCCTTCCTATAGATTCCTGACGCGGTTAGGGTTAGTGAGGATGAGGACGATTTTCTTGAAAGACCATGAAAATTGAGAAAACTCAAGTGCGACATTTTTGTGTGATATTATGATATGGTTAATGGAAGTAAAAATAATAATACCAAAATGACTTGCTATATTAAACTTGATTATAACCTCAGTACTTATATATATAAGCTCTTGATTCCTTTTAACTTTATCCTCTACGCGGAAGAATATATGTCATTGAAGAAAGTTTCTCATTCTATGCTATGATTGAGATGTAGTTACAAATGGATACACTTGCACTGTCACCTTTATGCAAGTCGAGGAAAACTGTATTCATGAAGGGAGGAAGATGAGGGGAAAAAGCATACATAGGGAAAAAAGTGGAAGTAGAGGAAAAGGGTGTTCTTTTTCTTTCTCTAGCAAGTGGATTCTGGTCTAGCTAGCCCTCCTTTCGGTTAGATACCAACTGCAATGTCCGCATAGTGGAAGAGAAAAGAAAGAAAATTGCTTCCTTTTCATTGATCTATTTGAAAGAGAGATGACAAGGACCGTAAACTTTAACTGACTTTGTTTTTGACGAATATTGCATGAAGGATTCGTTAGCATTATCCCTTTACGCGCTTACTTTTAAATAAAAAGGCTTCTAGTGGAATCCGTAGTACGAAAAAGGCCACAGTCCACAAGTTTTATTAACAGAAATTTGGATTATCAAAACAGAGAAATTTTATGATATTCAAGAGTAACTAATATATATATATATATATATATATATTTTCGTATTCATCAAAAGTGATAAGAAGATTTTATCTTTGTTCAATTTTTTTAATTTTCTCTCTCTTAGTTTTTTTTTTTTTTTTGTCTATCTCTTTCTATAAAATAACTTACAAAAATTTATGTCTATGTCTCTCTATAGAGTAATTAGTATACATGTATATGTACAATAGTTACTAGGTCCATTTTTGAGAAAAGAGATAGACACATAAAAAAAAATTATATTTGGATCCATCAAAAGGGATAAAAAAATTTTCACCCTCGTTTAATTTTTTTAATTTTCTCTCTCTTAGTTAATTTTTATCTCTCTCTAGAGAGTAACTTACATTAGTTACTCGAGTATTATAAAATTTCTCTTCAAAATAAAGTAAAGTAGTGTTTGAGAATTGCCATTATTGCCTAAACTAGTATTATGTTTTTTAAAATATGTTTGGATATTTGATTTTTTTTTTTTATGTTTTTCGACATGTATAGTTTTGATATGAGAATATCAAAATTATTAAAAATACCCAAAAAAAAGCGTTAATTTAGTGTTTTTTTATTTATTTTTAAAAAAGTACTTGCAATTACAGAAGACACATTTGGTATGCAGGTTTTTATTTATCATTCTGAAATGTGATTATTAAAAATGTATTTATATTTGTTTGAAACGAAAAATTCATTACAATATATCTTTATTGTGCTTTGTTTACGCTAGGAAATTTATGAGTATTAAGCCAAGACTCTGTAGCACCAACATTAGCATTGGACAGGCCAACAATTGCAGTACATGTCACGGCAACTGTTGTAACACAGGACACGGATGCGGCAACAACTCCTACTAACACTAGACACGCATCGCCCTACAAGTCCTTTCAACAACAATATGTTATACTTAGATAAAACTAAAGCTAGATAGAAGTTGTTTATATTTTATCGTATAGAGTTCTATAGGTACAAAACTTGTATTACTATAAAGATTCACTACAAAAAAAAAAAATCATTTAGCTACGGGTTAAACCTTCGCTAAATGAAAAAAAAAATTGCTTATTAAAATTAGCGATGGTTTAGAGACGGTCCAAAATCATCATTAAAAAACTTTTTACTAATTAGTTAGCGATAGTTTAAGGATTTCATCGTGAATTTAGAGACTATCTATCCATCACTAACAAATAGAAAACCTATCACTAAATAACAAAAAAAAAAAAAAAGGGTTGTTAATTTAGCAATGGCTTCAAAAACTCGTCACTAAATTTAGCTTCTATTAGATAAATCGTCTCTAATTATGGCCAAATTTAGCTTAGATTTAGCTACGGATTTAAAACTATTGCTAAATCATTTTTTTGAATGATATTTTCAGTCAATTATTTCATTGTTCATATGTCTCTAATAACAAATATAAAATCCAACCCAATTGAACAATTACAATAATAGTACGAAATTGAATTATAGAAAATACGAGTCCTTTATAATATATAAAATCTAATCCAATATATATTCAAACACTAAATTTTACTAAAGTGTATTAATATTTCATCAAATAAACATAAATAGTGTGATGAAGGGGCAACATGTCATATATCAGCATTTTCATCTAACGCATGATGGTTAGTCGAAGGATTAGTGGGGGAATTACCTTTTTACATATTCGAGTAACATCTACTATATGTGTTGCATTATCACATACTACTCATAATTGTGGTACTCCAACCACTTTTGATTTTCTAAGAGCGATGTAACAATAACCTTCAATTTTTAGATCTTTTCTTCTTATCTAGCATTGTTGGCCTCCACTTCTTTTCGATGCACCTCAATATCGATATGTAACTATGATGTGGTCAAACTAGAGGATGAACTAACATTTCGGTAATAATGAGAGGCTTATGACCCGAGTCCGTACATTCTCTTCCTCTTATTGTCTTCTCCTCCAACGACCCTCTAAAATATCTCATTCACATCATTGTCGACCATTGAAGTACCCTCCATCACTCTACTCATGACCTCTTATTTAAATATTTATCATGCGTATTGTGTGGTCTCCGTATGTGATCGAATCCCCTGTATGTCCAAATGAGCCAACCTTGATGTCACACGTCTTGCTCATGTGATTACGGGCCTCCTACTTTAATCGGACATGATACTCGGGTTTTTGCTCATTCTTGCTACATCCTATATCTCTTGTGAGATATACGTTATTTTGGGGTTTGTCTTCATATGATAAAGGAAGTTGAAATATCACTTCCATACCGGACTTTGCCATGGTTTCCTAAAGTTTCGATTGAACTCTTGGTCTCACATAAAGAAATTTTGTAAAAACATAAAAAATATTCATTAGTACATTTAAATGAATATTAAGAAATTTAATTAAAATGTACTCGTCACATAATAAATTAAGCTACTTATTACCTTAAACTCCTTCTAATAGAACTCTTTAGTTTGCTTGGTAATTGACTTCTACATCATTCCGGATAGATCAACATGCTCATAGAATATCTTATAGATTCGATAAGAGCACACATCGGATGGATATAATTTATCAAAAAAGATAATTAATGATTAAATAAATGCATTAATATAATAATGCTCCATAAAAAATATAAAATAATATGCATATTATGTACTCCTTGCCATCAACAAGAGTAATCAAAATGCGAGGATCTTACGTAAAGCCAACAAGTATGAAAGACATTATAAAAAGGATATATGGTGATGGGCAATGTACGGGTACTTGATAATCATCTTGTTAGGGCATAGGTCTTAATGATGATGAAGGTTTAAAAGTGTCGACATGTGGTCCAAACCGATGGGGTCAAGTCGAGACATGTCAAACGATGATGGGTATGACATGGGGTTGTGAGAGGAAATGCATCAATATCGAGGGGAGGGGACATATGACCTAGAACGAAGTAAGACTATGCTCACATCCATGACCACTATCATTGTTAGTGTCTAAACCATGACCCTCAACATCCGATCTAGGCCACTTGCATGCGAGAACGTCGTCTACCATAAGGCATAACCTACATGTTATAACATTAATTATTTAATCAAACACAACAACTATAAAACATCTTTATTACCATACATAAGATAAAATACATTTATTTTACGATCAATAAATACTTTTATATTACTTTAAAAATTTTAATCAAACTATGGGGAAAAATCCAACCTTATCGCTAATCGGTACCGGTTAATGATCGACCCTCATCGTCATCAACTTAGATGACATTGTGTTGGGCTTTCATATCATTTCTCCGAAATAGTTTCATATTTTTTAGATCGTAATAAACAATTCTAGCACACCAACTAACGTCCTCGGCTTTACCTTACATACGACTAACTAATCATGCTTAATGTGCTTCAATCACGCCTAGGACAAAAGGATTAGATCTATTCGACAACCTAAAACTATGTACCTCTACTAGTCCATACTAATCATGAACCTTTGCATCAATACCGGGTGAAGTAACATACCAATCTTGTTTGAACAATATGGTCCTTTTGATTGGTAATACAAGGTACTTAAGTTCTAATATATCGGTTAACCTACCATAATAGTCATTTTCCTCAACACCGTAATTAACTCCTTTTACGCAATCTCCATTACACATTGTTGCTTTATTTGAATCATGGCATTTGGTGTGAAACTTGTGCCCATTCACAATATATCTCGGATACAACTTTGATGTTCGTAAGTGCCATTTTGTGAGATCTTTAATTTAATGGTTGGTGATTGAGTTAGGTTTTGCATTACTTACCGGTAAAGTCAAAATCCATTCTTTACTCGTTGATATAACATTTCATCGTTGCATCTTACTAAAATGCAACCTCAAAATTGATGAAAATCACATATCGATGAAACCATGATGCAAAATCATTTTGAAGCCGAGCATCAACCTCGTGTTTTGATATGTTGGGATTACTTTGATGAAGTTGGCTCATGAAATAACTATTGAAGGAAAAACAATTTTAAGAATTTTAATATTTTTATTATATATTTATAATTGATAATTAATAAAGTTGAGTATTGAAAATTTTACTAATTTTAACACTTAGTGTAAGGTGTCACCTCATCAAAGTTTAATAAAATGTTGATATGGGATGCAAGCTTTTCTTCATCTCGTCAACATATGTGATTTTGCTCAACCAAGAGATCAATCTTTCAATTTGAATATAGCAAGCTTCCCTTCAATGTCCTCACTTAACTCTCGAGCACACTCAAAGTTATGTGGCCCTTTTTTATGCCTAGTATGCACATGAGGCTCAAAGTAGTATGAATAGCATATTGACGCTTCTTCCACTAAATATTCATTGTATATTAACCCTTCAACTC